CTCTCTCTCTCTCTCTCTCTCTCTCTCTCTCTCTCTCTCTCTCTCTCTGTGTGTGTCTGTGCTTCTGGCCCCCTCGCTGCCCCCTCGCTGCCCCCTCGCTCCCCCCTCCGCTCTCCGCTCTCCGCTCTCCGGTCCGAGCTCCTCGCTTCACGTCCCCCCTCCCAGCGCCTCTCCCTACCGTCCACATACTCTCACCTTCACTCTCTCGTTCTCGCTTTCTTCGAGTTGTCTTTAATCTCGTTTTGCGATTATCTCGCCTGCTGGAGCGTGCATGTTGACGCTTGTGGTGAAAGGATGTGAGCGCCACGTTGGAAACTTTTAAGGCGATATGTCACTCTCGGCCGACAAACTCCATAGTCTCTGTTGTGGAAGCGTAGGAAGGCTGTGTTCTATAGTTGGGCGGTTTTATGGCAGTTAGCCAGAGCTAGACGAGCAGAAGCTTCAAAAGCTTCAGAATTTTTCATATGTAACAAGACTGACCTAGACGCTGCCGCACTCTTGTGGATGCTTGCGTGCATGTGTTTGTGAGCCCGTGCGCACGCGCGACCGTGCGCTCATGCGTCCGTGTGCGCGTGCTTATTCGCATGTGTGCGATCGTGTGCGTGTTTGTGCGCGTGTGTGTATGCGTGCGCGTGCGTGTCAGCGTGCGTATTTATGTGTGTGTGTGGGGGGGGCTGGGTGTCTGGTGCGTGCGAGTGTGCGTATGCGTGTGGATCGGTGTGCGAGGGTACGTGCGAGCGCGCGTGTTTGTGTGCGTGCGTGCTTGTGTGCGTGTGTGCGTGTGTGCGTGTGTGCGTGTGTGCGTGTGTGCGTGTGTGCGTGTGCGTGTGTTTGTGTACGCGTGTGCGCGCGCTCGTTTGTGTGTGCGCGCATGTGCGTGCGAGGTCGCGTTTATATGTACGTGTGTGTGTGTAGGTGTGCATGCGTGAGTGCGTCCGGACGAGCGTGAGTGTTTATGTGCGCGCGTCTGTGTGCGTGTGTTGCGTGCGAGCGTGCGTATGCGTGTGGGTGGGTGCGCGAGTGTACGTGCGAACGTGCGTGTTTATGTGCGTGCGTGCGCGCGTGTGTGTGTGTGTGTGCGCGCGCCTGTGGGTGCGATGTTGCGTATCTATGTACGTGTGTGTGTGTAGGTGTGCGTTCGTCCGTACGATCGTGCGTGTTTATGTGCGCGTGTCTGTGCATGCGTGCGTGCGTCCGTGCGTGCGTGCGTGTGTGTCCGTGCGAGTGTCTTTGTGTGCGTGCGTGCGGGTGTCTTTGTGTGCGTGCGTGCGGGTGTCTTTGTGTGTGTGTGTGTGTGTGTG